ATCTTCAGGAAATCACCCAGGTTGTCTGTATTAATCATCTTTTTATATTCATGGGGCATGGTGTCAGTATCTAATTTCATTCAGCTGTTCAATGGTGGTATAGCTTTCAGAGTACTTTTGTATATACCCATGGATGGGGATGCAGGGGGTAGGCAGTATATGAGTGGACTTCAGGGGTCTGTTTGTTCCTGGAAATAAGAGGAAAATTTGTATACATGTGTGTATGGGGGCGGGCGGTGCAAAAAGGGCTGTAAGGATAAGCTAAAGGAATATTTACCCCATTCAGGCATGGGATTCAGAACAATCTGGAATTTGTTGTCATTTGTTCATATGTAAAATGGTATGAATGTCTACACTTTTCTAATGTAATGGGTTGGTCCTATGGCTTACATTCTCAGTTGGATGGAGCCCCCACCCCCAAGAGTTTAAGACCAATTTGAATAAAATAGGTTCCTGTATTATTTACGGGGAATGGGCAAAAACTAAATATTCCCCTATTCTTCCCACATTTTGTATTGGCTTACACCTCATGGCGTCTCACATACTAGTTTGCACATCCAAGCTTGCTCTACATCCCCCCTCACACACAATCAGAACCCAAGGTGCAAATGTCAGCCACACAGTCCTCTCCTGAATGGACCTGAGTTGAGGCCCGTGTAGGCCATGAATGCCCACTTTAGTGTTAAATTTCAGGCCCTGGATACCCAGATCATGATCTCACGGCTGGTGGGGGGGTGCTTTCAGTTTCCATGTGGGCACTTCCTAGATGCCCTTGAATTTTTCAGCTTATGGGAAAGGACAAAACCAAAAGATACCAGAGCTGGGCTTTCTGCCTGAGTTTAAGTACTGGTACCAAGTACTGGGTACAATACTATTACTAAAGAATAGCCATCCACTATGAGAATGCAGTGGACCCTAAGTTTCTGGCTTCAAGCCTAGTTTGTTTTCCATTTAATCCACAAAAGGTGCGCTATGATAGGGTCTCTATGACCTTGATTCAATTTGCCTGGGTATGACTATATATGTGGTTCTTGGGTAATGTAGTGCACCTGTTTAAAGGAAGGAACAAATTCACCCCATTGTGTGTCTTCTCTGATACATGTTGAGCACACTTATCTAGAAAGAGCAAATATCTTGAAAGTTCATGTTGGATTTGAATAATTGGCCTTTATCTATATAAAAGGGCTTTCATCACCTTGAATTGTGGAAAGAGGTGTGTTTCTGAGAAGAATTTTTCCTAGTAGAGTTTTTCTAAATTGAATCTTGTTCAGCTTGGTTTGGGGAGTGGGATCAATATTTAAAATACGTGAGATAAAGGGAGAACATTTGGCTGGGGATATGGCTCATGGGTAGAGTGCTTGCCTAGCACACATGAAGTCCTGGTTTGATACCCAGCTCTGGGAAAAAAAAAAAGTGGGGGAGAACATTTTCATAAAATAAATAATTATCCAGGGCATTTATTTATTTATTTGGTAATGGGAATTGAACCCAGGGGAGCTCTGCCACTGAGCTATATCCCCAGGCCTTTTTATTTTTTTGTTTTGAGTCAGGGTCTCACTACATTGCCCAGGGATGGCCTCAAATTTGCAATACTCCTGCCTCAGCCTCCTGAGTTGCTGGGATTACAGGCATGTGCCACCATGCTCAGCTCCAGGGCTTAATCTGATGATCTAATTTTAATTATAGTATTTAAATAGAATCAATATTTTTATTGCTGTGTTGACATTGTTACATCAAGCTGGGTTGTGCCTGAAGAAGCTTAGGATCCAAGATTTCTGGAAAGTTCTGATTTTGCAGCCAGGCTGTGCACTGAGCACTTCACACATTTCCCCCTATTGTCTCATTGGTCAAATCTATCAGAATAAAAACTACCAGACTTCAAACTTGACTTGGTCATCTGAATATTGAAAAGAACAGAAGCAAAAAACCATACCCCTTTTCCACAAGTTCTTTTCCAACATGACCTACCCTAATATTTCCTGTCTACTTTACTCTGCCATGATACAGGCTCATGTCCTCCTAACCTGCGGTTTCCTTCCTCTATCCCAGGGGGACAATACATTCTTGCGATATCTCCTGAGTGTCACCTACTGAGTCAGCCTGGGAAGTGGAAGGTGGGCAAGGTTTTTGAGACCAGAGAGGGGAGAACATCCAAGAATAATAAATCAGCAGTGTCCCTACCAAGTCAAAGTGCTATTTGCATCTGTTATCACTACTTAGTGCAGGATGGCTTAGACTGCATTACCAAGAATGTAGGGGGAGAAGCTGGGCATGGCGCCACATGCCTGTAATTCCATCTACTCACGAGGCTGAGGCAGGAGGATTGCAAATTTGAGGTCAGCCCTGGGCACCTTAGTGAGACCCTGTCTCAAAATACAAAATAAATAAATAAAAGGACTGGGGTTATTGCTTGTCAGTAAAGCACCCCTGGATTCAATTCCCAGTACAGAAAAAAAAAATGTAGTAAGAGGTCAGAGAAGGGCCTAGAGTATCACAAGCATGAGGTGCAGAGGGCCCTGAGGATTCCTCTAAGGAGGTGCTAAGGGGATATCCTTAGATGGGGTAGACCCTAAATTGGAGGCAAGATGGGGTTTCCCATTCTTGGGGGTTTATGTTCACCCAGTGGGGAGTCCCCTTCCCTTTCTCTCCCCGCTTTTAGATTCCCTTGAAAGCCCACTGACACTCCGTGTCAACTGCATTTGGTTTTACAGAGGTTGCTGCCCTTTGAACACAGTCTCCAACTCTTGATCATCAATGAGCAAACAGTGCTAGTAGGGCAGCTGAGTCACAGGCACATGATGGAGGGGACCACATGGTCATGAGCTCATCTCCCAGACCCCTGAACCTTTCCTGTTATACTTGGGGGCTTCTTCCTGGTGGCTTTCTCCACTTCTTCCTGGACTTTAAGAACTTGTATTTCTGTGTTGGAAGAAGGGTGTTTCCCTGTCTTCATATACATATCAGAAGGATGTTTTATGTCTTTTACATGGGTGTCTAATGTGTCCCTGGGTGTGGTGGTGATATGAGCTCGGAAATGGAAAATACTCAAGCTTCAGAGTAGCAGGTGAATACCACATGCCCATTTGCATGTTCCCTTTCACTCTGACTCATCTTCCCCTCTCCCCACCCTGGTGCCCCTCCACCAGCCTCACCCACTGACACACCCTGTCTGATCTAGGAAGAATTAATACCTGCCTGTACCCAAGCTAGAATGAGATGGAAGGTATTTTAGATATTGAGGAAGAGAGAATAGGAGGGTACTCTGAACATTTTAGGATCCTGGAGTCAAAGGGAAAAAGGGGAACTTAGAGACAGTATTTGGGTGGAGGGGACCAGGATCTAAAGGAGATGTTAGGGGGAATCAGACTATGTCTTGTCACTAGAGCAATCTACCAATGTCTGACTTGTTTATCTTCTACTTATTTATTGCATGTATATGATATGCCAGACACACACCATAAATATTTTACCAACATTTGTTGAATGAATGAAAAATTTGCTATGGGATCAGGGATAATGGAATTATAGGAAACAAACTAAAAAGAAATTTGAGGGCTGGGGATGTAGCTCAAGCGGTAGCGCACTCGCTTGGCATGCATGCGGCCTGGGTTCGATCCTCAGCACCACATACAAACAAAGATGTTGTGTCCGCCGAAAACTAAAAAAAAATAAATAAATAAAAATAAAAAATAAATATTAAAAAAAAAAAAAGAAATTTGAACCTCTCAGGCCTTTTTCTCTTCCCCACACTAAAAAGTGCTTAAGTATGAAAGGAGGGGAAATCTCCAGGGACCTTGACCTCTAGGGCAGGAAATGAAAGAGGGTTCTGATTTCAGAGAAATGTCATTTGTCATCAGCCCAAGAAAAGAAGATTTTCTCTTCGAAGACCACCACAGGCTGTTCCTGGGGTTACCCCTTTGCAGAGCTTTGTGGGAGGATCTGAGTCACACACACATCCAGTCCCCAGTGGTGGCCCAGATGACAGAGTTCATTCCCATAGAGCAAGTGAGGCTTCCCAGTACTAAGCCAGGGAGAGGGAAGAGGCATGCTTTTGGCCCTCCTTCCTTCTCTCCTTGAAATCCAGATGTTTCCATCCCTTTTTTATTTCTGAGATAGAAGAGTTTTCAGCTACTATGCCACCTCCAAGAAAGGGAACTAATATCATCTGCATGGTGCTATTACCTATAAACCACTTTCATATTCAAGCCATTTCATCTTCAAATGAGGCAAGCAGAGATTATCCTTATTTCACAGATGAGGTAACTGAGGCTCAAAGAGGTGACTTACCCAAGTTGACTCAACTAGTAAAGGGCAGAGATGATACTTAAGTGCAAATCAGATTATTCCAAAGTCCTCATTGCCAGAGATTCACTTCTGTGACTCTTAAGAGTTCAGAAATGAAGAGACAGGACGTTAAGAGGCTGGGTTCTGGAAGTACAAGGGCCATCTCTCCCCTGCAGGGTAAAGCAGAGGCATAAAGCCACACCCTCTTGGGGGACTATGGCAGACTGATACTTGGGGCATCCAATGAAGGACTGAAGTCAGGGGCGGGGCTAACTCGGGGGTGGGGGGGCAGCATCCCCAACAGCATTTCAGAGCATGTGGTGTCAGGAGGCAGATACAACCGGTGAGTGGATACCTTTCCCCAGCTGAGGCTTTCCTCCCATTACACCCCTCTTCCTGTCTACTTCTTACCAACCTGTAACTTCCCTGAGGCATCCAAGTCATAACTCTCTCTTCTACAAGGGTCCTTACGGAGAACCTGCACCCAGGACTGGTGTATTGGCTGGCCTCTAAGCTGTGTTTCTGTTTGTATCTGAGTTCTCAGTTCTCTTCTTAAAAGTCAATATGATGGAGCCAGGAGCCTTATCGCATGCCTGTAATCCCAGCTACCTGGGAGAATGGGTCAGGAGATCACAAATTCAAAGCCAGCTTGGGCAACTCAGTGAGATTCTGTCTCAAAATTTAAAAATAAAAGTGGGGGAGATGTAGCTCAGTTGATAGTGCACCCCTGGATTCAATCCCTAGTATGGCAAAAAAGAGAAAAGAGCCCATATGGTGGTTTTGATGTGACTTGTACAGTTCTTTCTATTTTTCACTTTTTGACTTATGAGAAACAAAATGAAACCATCTCCTTACCCTCATGTTGGGAGAGAATAGCCTCCTCTCTCTATAGTTTCCATTCCCTTTCTCTCACTTTCTCAGGCACCAAAGTCTTCTCCAAAACCCTACTCTATCACCGGGTCAGGAGCCTTCTCTCTGTGGCTCCTGAATCTGCATTCTTAACCCACTGGATGGGAGTCTTTAGTCTCTTCCAGTTCCTCCTCCAAAGATGTATTCTAGAAGCTTCAGCCTCAGGGAGATGATTGAGGGATGTCTTTGACCCTCCTGCAGCCATGATCACTGTCTTGCTGCCCTCTCTGGCTTTCAGGTATGTCTGGGGAGGACCTACTAGCTTTCTAAGCTCTCCTGTGAAATTGTGTCTTTGTATTCCTAAATGCCAGGGTTGACTGTTCTTTGGTGATCCCTTTGTCTAGAATGAGGAAAGCTCAGTCAGCTTGGAGGTCTTCCTCTGCAGAAGTATCCATGGTGACTATTCTTAAGCCAGAGATTGCTTCCTATACTAGTCTTAAACCCACAACTGTTAATTCTCTGGCTCTCTCTCTTTTTTAATATTTATTTTTTACTTGTAGTTGGACACAATACCTTTATTATCTTTTTTTATGTGGTGCTGAGGATCGAATCCAGGGCCCTACACACGCTAGGCGAGCACTCTACCACTGAGCCACAATCCCAGCCCTGGTTCTTACTGTTTCCATTCTCTTACCACCACATTTTCACCACTGGCTCCTGTAATGACTTTGGATAAGTTTAGGTCCTCTCTTGGGTTAGCTTATTTGGTCTATTCAGAAGAGAGAACTCTGATCAAAGACCAAAAACTCATTCTTTCTCCCCTCCCCTCCACAGGCTTGAGAATATGCCGTATCTCCCTCCCCTTTCTGCCAAGGACCCCACATTGTGGTCTTTCTCTAAGAATCCCTAAGATTGGTATCCAAGGCAAGGCAAAATGCCCCTCCCCCCAACAAGACTGTTCAGCCCATATGGCTCTGATCGGTTGGTCCAGCTAGCAGCCAGGCTCCGGCCAGCACTATGTGATACCATGATCACCGTAGGAGACCAGGAGTTCCCTGCACACAGCCTGGTACTAGCAGGTGTGAGCCAGCAGCTGGGCTGCAGGGGCCAGTGGGCTCTGGTAGAAGGCATCAGCCCTTCCACCTTTGCCCAGCTTTTGAGCTTTGTTTATGGGGAGAATGTAGAGCTGCAGCCTGGGGAGCTGAGGCCTCTTGAGGAAGCAGCCAGGGCTTTGGGGGTGCAGGCCCTGGAAGAGGCATGCAGGAGGGCTCGAAGGGACAAGGCTGAAGAACTGGATGAAGGGCTGAAGAAACATCAGGAGGAGCCAGAGAAACCCACAAGGGATTCAGATTCAGAAAGAGGACTGTGGGGGCTCGGAGAGATGCAAAAACCAAAGAAATTTTTTAGAATTGGTGGGAGGGAACAGGAGACATTGCACGGGCACAAACCACCAATAGAGTACTCTGAGATGACAAGAGCAATACCAGAAGGTCAGGGGGAGATGAGATCAGAGAAGAAACTCAGTCAAATCCCTGTTGACTACCAGGGAGCAGATAGAGAGCAAGGAGTGGTCGTGAGGGTGACAGAGAGAACAGGGGGCTCTGAGGAAAGTCTTCGGGGGTTCCCTAGTCCCCTTCCCCCAGCAGGTTCCCTCCAAACCAGCATCATCCCCAAGCCTTGGTGGGCCGAGGCCCCCTGGTTGGGGGAGGACCAGCCTGCCCTGTGGAGCATCTTGCTGTGGCCGCCCAGATATGGCACTCCCTTCTCCCATAGCACACCCAGCACTGGAACCTGGCAGGAGGTCTGGCCTTGGAACCAGAGGTGAGTGAAGGGCCTAGTGGAAGACTCTAGTCTGGGAGGGAGTGGTGCAAGAAAGGTAGCAGTGATGGATGAGGGGTACCATACCTCTTATCTCTATATTTCCTAAACCAGTATTGGGCCAAGAAATTCCCACCACAGGAGCAACCAGGGTCAAGCCGTGAGGGTTCGGGAAGGGGCCAGTGTTGACCAGGCTCCCAGGTCTTTCTATGGCTATAATTCTTCCTTGCCCTGTCCCCCAGGATCCCTCTGACCCTGAACAGCCCTAAAGGGTTCTGGAGTCAGAATCAGTTGGCTTCCTCCAGCCCTACCCCAGGTAAGCCCCTCACTGTCCTGCACACAGGACACCCCCGGGGCTGGGTCCCAGGCCTGACCTGAGCAGGGACCCCCACCTCACTCTGCTCCCTTTAGGTTCCCTCCCCCAGGGCTCTGTGCAGGTCAGCCCTGGGGAGATGGAAGACTCTGGGCAGGAGCGCACAGGTGAGTAGGGTGAGGGCATTTTTGCTTCAGCCCCACTGGACCTACTGATTTCTTGCCCAGGTGTTAAGACTATGGAATTCCTGGCCCTGCCCGGCTCTGACTTCTGTGTCCACACAGGCTCCCGGACAACCTGTGTGGGTCATGAGGGCACGGCAGGCTGCCCATCTCGCCAACACCCTCCCCCGCCTCCTGCTCGGTCTCGGCCCTATTCTTGCTCTGTCTGTGGAAAGAGGTTTGCACTCAAGCATCAGATGGAGACGCACTACCGAGTCCACACAGGTATGGGCGCCCAGCCCAGTGTGAAGCTGTCGGCATCCTTCCCTACCGTCGGTCTACCCACTCCTGGGTCTCTCTCTCCGGCTCCGGCGCAATTCCCTAGCCTCGTCGCCCAATGTACCCCAGGCTTGGTCAGCCTTCGTCCCCTGTTCCTTCCTTAAATGGCCTCCCCCTCCCTCTGCCCTAGGAGAGAAACCCTTCTCCTGTAGCCTCTGTCCTCAGCGCTCCCGGGACTTCTCTGCCATGACCAAGCACCTGCGGACACACGGGGCTGCTCCCTACCGCTGCCCTCTGTGCGGGGCCGGCTGCCCTAGCCTGGCCTCCATGCAGGCGCACATGCGCGGCCACTCGCCCAGCCAGCTCCCGCCCGGATGGACCATACGCTCCACCTTCCTCTACTCTTCCTCCTCCTCATCCTCGAGGCCGTCCCAGGCCTCCACCTCTCCTGGTAGTGCCCCCTCCACCACCACCTGACGGTGTGTTGGTAGGTCCTTTGGCCCCAGACGAATCCAATTAGATTTAGCAAATCTGACTTCAGAAGCGCCGCAGGACAGGAGCCGAGAGCCCTCTCCCGGATGATTGCGGGTTACAGAAGCCTGGGTCAGCGAGCTCCTGTGGGCTGAAATTCGCACGAGTGAGGACTAACTGTATGGGGACTGTTGATTTTATCACCATAATAAAAGAGTTTCCTGTGCTCTCTGGTCTGGACAGGAAAGCCGAGCGCAGGCTTCAGTCCGTGTTTCGCCCCCCCCCCTCAGCTTAGTCCCTTGTCTTGTAGCGCCCCCTGGTGGCTGTGCTAACCAGCGGGACCGACACTTTCTCCATCTCTCCGGGTTCCTGGGCCTCCCACAGAGGCCATTGGCCATGAGGGCCCGGCATCCCGGCAAACTTCACGTCAGGTCTTGCAGGGGTCGGGGTGAACTGTGAGATCGGAGGCACTGGCTCCATCCACAGCAATGCACGGTGCGCTGACTGATCTGGGCGCGCCCGGCCCAGAACTGGAAAGAAGCACATGCTCCGGCTCTGCTTTCGGTTATTCGTCTCCTCTCCCTGAGCGCACAACATTGTGTCTCAACACCGACGGAACGGCTCCCGAGTCGCTCCTAGACCTGAAACTAATCCTCTGCTGCCGCCCCTTCTCCAGCCCACGCCTCCCGTACTGGCTAACTTCATTTGCCAGCGTCTGCCGGGTTCCCAGGGTCTGAAGCCCGCGGCACCCTGGGAGTGGTAGTCCATTCGGACCGCTGGCTCCGACAAGAACAATGGGAGGAGTCTGGGGCGCGGACCACACCTCCCGGAGACGGGGAACTGGCTTTCCGGGTCCCACTCGGGAACCCCGTATTCTCAGCTCTCGCGTCCGAGCCGCCGGCGGAAGGAGCAAGGCGTCTGGACTACATTTCCCGGAGGCCCCTGCGCCTAGCCCCTCTACGGCCCGGACGCAGGGTCTGTGCTCTCTTCAGGTGCGGTCTGAGGGTGACGGCCGCCCGGCCCCGGACTCCCGCTCCCGTGGTGCCCTGCGCGTGGCCGGCCCAGCCCCCGGCTCCCGCCAGCCCCGCGGCGGCGCTGGTTGTTGTCGTGAGCCGCAGCCGCCCCGCTTCGCCCCTCCTCCGCTCCCCTCCCCCCGACCCTGCGCACGGGCCGCCCCTCCCCCCGCCTCCCCGGCCCCTCTCACGGTGCCAAGATGGCGGCGGCGGCGGGCGGCGGCAGTTGCCCGGGGCCTGGCTCCGCGCGGGGCCGCTTCCCGGGCCGGCCGCGGGGCTCCGGCGGGGGCGGGGGCCGCGGCGGACGGGGCAGCGGGGCCGAAAGAGTGCGGGTAGCTCTGCGGCGCGGCAGCGGCGCGGCGGGGCCGGGCGGAGCCGAGCTTGGGGAAGATACGGCCCTGCTCCGTTTGCTGGGGTTCCGCCGGGGCCTGCGCCGGCTCCGCCGCCTGTGGGCCGGCCCGCGCGTTCAGCGGGGCCGGGGCCGGGGCCGGGGCCGAGGCTGGGGCCCGGGGCCGGGCCGAGGCTGCGTGCCAGAGGAGGAGAGCAGTGACGGGGATTCCGACGATGAGGTGAGGTAGTCGGAGGCGTCCCCCGCGCCGGGTGGGGCGGAGGCCGGGGGCTTACAGCGACCTGGGTGCCCCCTTGGGGTGGCGTGGGCAAGTGGGATCTTCAGGGCTTCTGTGGAGGAAAGGCTTCTGGGAACAAGCATGGAAGGAGGTAGTCTGCAGAGAGCTTTGGGTGGATAGGGCCTCTGAAAGTGGATAGAGAAGCCCTGTCTGCAGCTAGCCTCTTGGGCCCCAGACAGGTCTTACCGAAGTGTCTTGGGCTGATCCTTCTTGGTAGCAAGACTAGGGGAGTAGAAGTGTGGGCGAGAAGGCCATGAGGACTGCACGCCCAATCAGTGGTGGTTGACAGCAGCGACGGCAGCAACAGCAGCAGCATGGCTTTAGTGGACTAGAGACTAGAGCAGTCTGGGCTCTTAGCTGTAGGCTTTCCCCCAGGATCTCAATCTCTGACACATCCCTAGTTTCACCAGTGCTCCAGTTCTTCTGCTGATCTTAAGGTAGAGTGGTGGAGGGCTTCTTGGGACACGGGTTGAAGAAGAATGAAAGGGAGGCTGAGACTGGGCACTCTGCCTGGTCTGAGTTCAGCTCAGGATTTATTCCCCTAACCTTTCAGAAAAAGCAAGAGAGTGTCGACTGTATTGCTGGGACCCCTATTAATCACCTGAGGACTCAGTGCAGCCTGATATGATAAACTATTTGATGCGTGCTCCTTCCCGCCCTTGGGTGTCCCTACTCCCATCTTCAGGCAGAAACTGTGGCCTGAAAGGGTGTAAATGGAGGTTCCAATTTGTTCTGAGTTGAAGTTGGCCATTGGTGTAGGGCTTACTTGCCTAACTTGAGGAGACACTGTTGTGTTTTCTTCTGGGCCAGGAACCCCTGGTGGCTGTGCTTGTCTGGCCTGGCACTGGGGAGGGGAGTTTAGAAACACCTTGTGCCTCCATTTGTAGGGAAAGTCCTTCCAGTCCATTTATTTTATAAATAGGCAGAGGTACATTAAGGGGTAAGCTGGGGGTGTTTCTCCATACCTTGAGTCCCAGGTGGAACCAGGGCTTTGGCACTGACTGCTGTTTCTCCCCTCCACCCCCGGTCCCCTAAATCAGGAGTTTCAGGGTTTTCATTCAGATGAAGATGTGGTCCCCAGTTCCCTGCGCTCTGCGCTCCGATCCCAGCGAGGTGAGTGATGGGGGAAACTCTACCTCTGTAGCTTTACAAAAATGTTATTCTTGCCCTTTGTGTCAGTTCTTCCCTGTTCTGCTAGTCTCCGTCAGTTACTGAGTATGTCCTGTGTTCAGAGTCCAAGATAGACTGGGCTGTGGGGGAAACTGATAAATAGGACTTAGTTTCTGCCCTTCTGGAGCACCTTCCTCAGTCTGCAGGGCTAGTTTGACCCATCTCCCCACACCTATTCTCCTTTTAGGTCGAGCCCCCCGAGGTCGGGGCCGCAAACATAAGACGACCCTTCTTCCTCCTCCTCGCCTATCAGATGTGACACCTACCCCCCCAAAGACCCCTGCCCGGAAACGGGGTGAGGAGGGCACAGAACGGATGGTGCAGGCACTGACTGAACTTCTCCGGCGGGCCCAGGCACCCCCAGCTCCCCGAAGCCGGGCATGTGAGCCCTCCACCCCGCGTCGGTCTCGGGGACGGCCCCCAGGAAGGCCAGCAGGCCCCTGCCGGAAGAAGCAGCAAGCAGTAGTGGTAGCAGAAGCGGCTGTGACAATCCCTAAACCTGAACCCCCACCTCCTGTGGTTCCAGTAAAACACCGAACTGGCAGTTGGAAGTGCAAGGAGGGGCCTGGCCCAGGACCTGGGACCCCCAAACGTGGAGGACAGACTGGGAGAGGAGGCCGTGGAGGCAGGGGCAGAGGCCGAGGTGGGCTCCCCCTCGTGATCAAGTTTGTTTCAAAGGCCAAAAAAGTGAAGATGGGACAGTTGTCCTTGGGACTTGAATCAGGTCAGGGTCAAGGTCGACATGGGGAAAGTTGGCAGGATGCTCCCCCAAGAAGAGTTGAATCTGGACAAGGAGGGGGCCCTTGTTGCAAAAAGCAGGAGCAGAAGCTAGAGGAGGAAAGAGAGGAGAAGAAAGAAGAAGAAAAGGATGAGGAGGAAGAGGAGAAGGAAGAGAAAGCTGAGGCTGAGGAAGAGGTGATGCTAGCTGAGGAAAAGGAGGAGGCAAAACCACCATCACCACCTTTAACTCCTCCAGCCCCTCCACCCCCTCCTCCTCTCCCACCCCCATCAACATCTCCTCCCCCTCAACCTTGCCCTCCACCACCCCCTGTCCGCATGTCTCCCCCTCCCCCACCATCCCCTCCACCACCTCTGGTCCCAGAGGAGAGAGAAGAGTCCCCACCTCCTGCAGTCCCAGCTACATGCTCCAGGAAGAGGGGCCGGCCTCCCCTGACTCCCAGCCAACGGGCAGAGCGGGAAGCTGCTCGGGCAGGGCCAGAGGGTACTTCTCCTCCCACTCCAAACCCCACTACCACCATGGGAGGCCCTTCAGAAGACAGTCCCACCGTGGCCCCCAAAAGTACCACCTTCCTGAAAAATATCCGGCAGTTTATTATGCCTGTGGTGAGTGCCCGCTCCTCCCGTGTCATCAAGACACCCCGACGATTTATGGATGAAGACCCTCCCAAGCCCCCAAAGGTGGAGGTTTCACCTATTTTACGACCTCCCATCGCCACCTCCCCACCTGCTCCCCAGGAACCAGCACCAGCTCCCTCTCCACCACGTGCTCCAACTCCCCCATCTACCCCAGTCCCACTCCCTGAGAAGAGGCGGTCCATCTTAAGGGAACCCACATTTCGCTGGACCTCACTAACCCGGGAGCCGCCCCCCCCCCCCCCCGCCCCCCCACCAGCCCCATCTCCACCACCTGCCCCTGCCACACCCTCCCGGAGGCCCCTGCTTCTTCGAGCCCCACAGTTTACCCCCAGTGAAGCCCACCTGAAGATCTATGAATCGGTGCTTACTACTCCTCTTGGGGCTCCTGAAGCCCCTGAGCCAGAGCCGCCTCCTGCCGATGATTCTCCAGCTGAGCCTGAGCCACGGGCAGTGGGCCGAACCAACCACCTCAGCCTGCCTCGATTTGCCCCTGTGGTCACCACTCCTGTTAAGGCTGAGGTGCCCCCCCATGGGGCTCCACCTCTAAGCAATGGGCAGCAGCCTCAGGCTCAGCTACAACAGCCCCTGCAGGCCTTGCAGACCCAGCTACTGCCCCAGACACTACCACCCCAGCAGCCACAAGTGCAGCCGCAGCCATCACCACAGCACACACCACCACTGGAAAAGGCCCGGATGACCAGCCTGAGTTCCCTACCACTGTCTGGGGTGGAGGAGAAAATGTTCAGCCTTCTCAAGAGAGCCAAGGTACAGCTCTTCAAGATTGACCAACAGCAGCAGCAGAAGGTGGCAGCGGCCATGCCGGTGAGCAAGGTGCTGCGGCCAGGCCCTTTTCCCTAGTTCATCCAGCTGCCTCCCTAGATACTATTCAGCACTGTCAGTAGCCTTCAGAACCAGTTCTTCCCTTATCCTCTAGTGTCCTGTTTTGTCCTCGATCCTATTCCTTCCCTATGGCTATTCCCCTGTCCCCATCTGTCTTTACTTCCCAGATCCTGACCCTGTTTATTCCCCTACCAGCTGAGCCCTGGAGGGCAAATGGAAGAGGCTA